TGTAGGGAAGGCAGCAGATTCTTCATTCATGAATCTGGGCATACATGTAAATGTCCCGTGAGCTGCGATGGGGCCAGGACAGTTGCTTTTATGGAGCAAGGAGTCTAGGTTGTGAAAATAAACAAAATTAATCATGAGTTGGCAAACTACAGAGACTATTCTTGGCATCCTTCTCTTAATATCTATTTCTATAATTTAGGATTAAAATCCCATTATCCCATATTATAGAATTTTTTTTTCTTTTCTTGAGATCTCAACCTGTCCATTCAGTTCTGTGAAATCTGAGGATTTTAATTTGCTGTGGCTTCCATTCAGCATCAAATCTGGCACAGAGAGCCTGACTCTACCTATTCCTCAATGCCACTCTAATTCCTACTGAAACTGTATTACTTCATCATATCTCAAACTTACACCTACTTGATAACCATTTCTACTGCACATTCACTTATTCTCTTACTTTTTTCTTTTACTATTTAAGTATCTGCCTTTGATCCTGAAAGAGATTTTTGCAGCCCTATAAAGTCTGTAGGTAGCTAAGAATTAAACAATTCTCCCTAGCTGGGGTTGGTCTCTCTCAGCTGTTCTCTCATAAACCTGTAACAGTCGTATTTCATAGAACTGCAGCTTTGGTTTCGATGTTGCGTGGCTTAATATCATTGCTCTTGAGGTCCCTTCTATAGTTCTTTACATTTGTAATTATATCCCAAATCATTAGCATTCTACAAGATAAAATAGTGTTGCATACTTTTCTTTTTAATTTATGAAACGCATTTTATAGGAATTTTTAAGTTCGGAACAGAGCTGAATAAAAGCCACTGTGAAATCCTATAGGAGGAAAACCCAAACTGGAAAACATCTTGAATCTTAATCTTAACTTCTTTCCTGCCTCTTTTCCTCTGGCTCTCTTTCTCTTACACTTTCTTCTTTCCTCCCTTCTTTCTTTCTCTCCCTTCTACCATGTCCTCCTTTCTCCTCTTCCTCCTGTTTTCTATGTTTCTCTCTCCTCCTCATAGTTTCCTCCCCCTTTAATTATGAACAGAATTACAAAACATAAGAACCTAACTGGCACTACAATGAAGACATTAACTTTGTATGTAAATTGAGATTACATGTATGAAATAGATACTTTCTTGAACAGAAGGCCAGAGAACTTTATGGTATCTATAAATCCATCTGGCTTTCTGAGGAGATCCCCTCCCACCTCCAATGTTTGAGTTTAAAATCCTGCCTCAGATAAGGCAGCTTCCTCTCCTCTTCTTCTACAGCATGGCTTTGCTGATACTCCAACCTTTGCTCTACTCTGTATCTTGGTTCTATTGTTCCCGTAGGTCATACATGATAACACTGTCTAGACTTGTTTTCCTTACTTTTCTTTTTTTTTAAGAAATAAATCAGACACAGGACCAGCAGTTGGTGTATGTCATTGGACCCCCATGTAGTCGACTGTGGCTCGAGTTCCGGAACCGATGGCTTAAACTCACGCCGGGAGCGTGTGCGTGCGTGCCCAAGATCCCGAGAGGAGAATGGAGGAGAAGGGATTGCAGCGTGGTCATCCTCCCTCGGGGGGTGGGGGGTGATTTCTCACTTTCTGTCTCCCTGTCTCTCTCTGTCTTTCTCGTAAGTGCACGTGTCCTATAGGTCTTTAGATAAAGGCCAAGTTGTCTAAAAGAAAAAAAAAAAAAACTCTCCAAGAAAAAAAAATAATAATAATCCAGACATTCTTTCCCCTACACTAATTTCTCATAGTGGATACCCCCTAACCACCAAAAAGAGGAAAAGAAATTAGGAAAGAGGAGAGAGAGAGATGAAAGCAAACAGAAGGAGAAAAAGAGGCACTACTCTTTGTATTGCTCCATTAACATTCACTCTAATTTTATAATTCAGGATTTGTTTTTATAAACTCATAATTTTCTTTCTTGAAGTAAACTGGCCAATATACTGCTTATTATTATTTGCTTCTAAAAGCTGCTGATATTGATACCCCGCAATCCCAGTGTGATGGGATTTCACTAGTTCCTATAGTTGATATATTCACAACAGGCCTGCAGGTGCATGGGAATGCACAGTCACAGCCACGAAGGGCCAACTCAAACAAGTAGCAGTAAATCAAGCACAGCAACAATCCAAGACTCTGGCAAGATGACCAAGCGAATGCATATAAAAACTATCATTAAAACGGTACAAGCCCTTTTAGAATTAAAATTTCAAAATGTTCTTTTGGGATCTTTGCAGTAATATACAAATGCGAATTCATGCATTGGAGAGTAACTAAATACACGATAAGAGAAATGTGGCTTACCAAAGCCCAGATAAGCAAAATTTAGGGACCTCAGCTGGCGGTAATATTAACTTCAGCCAAATTAAATGAATATTATAACCGCAAAAAGATTGTTATCTCCAATATTATATTTTTAATATCATCCATAGAGAAAGCAATGGCCCTGCTATACTCTGTTCTGCTCAGACTGTAACTAGGGAATTAGGTTCAGCTCTGGCCACCTTAATTCAAGATGGGTTTAGACAAGTTGAAATGAACAGAGGAGAGGGACCAGGATGGTGGGAGGAACAAAAGAAGAAAGTAGCAATAATACACCTGGAGGGAAAAAAAAAGACAAGAAGAAATTGGAAAAGTATTTTCAAGTAGCTGAAAGAACATGCAAGAGGCAGATTTTGTTCTAAATACTGCTTAAAACCTAGTCCCCTCATCCATCTGGCCAAATGCATCAGAGCCTGATTCAATGAGTAGAAGCAACAGGAAGTCCAATAGAATGAAAAATGTAGGCTAGCAACCTTTTAGGTCTGTAGTTGCCATATTTTATCTCATAGTACTTTCATACGCAAAACCTATTTTTGACGTGTTTTGTCTGTGTATACATATCTGTAAGAACATTTTTCCTTTAACTTCTGCACATAAGAAATTACTCTGAATCTTGCATGAGAAAGCACAAAATATGACACTAAGGCATATCATTCTAAAAGTCCTAAAGATGGGCACAAATAATATCCATTTGGGGTGAGGAGGGAGGTAGACATATAGTTGATATTTTACAGAAGAAGGAAGTGAGACATCTTTAACATCGATCAAAATAACATTTACAAACAAAGAGGCAGGTGGACGCAGCCCATGGTGGACACAACCCCTAGCCTCTACAATGGAGTTAGGCTTCCCCAGGTCTCCTTTTCTTCCCTACCCTCTGCCAGAGGAGAGGCTGTTCACGCGAGTGTTTCTATCCAGTAACCTCCCAGCACCTCCAGCATTACTGATGCTGGAGCGCAGCTCATACTGCAGAATTAGGGGAAGGTTTGATTTATCCCTTTTGGAGTCCTGGGACAAAGCACCAAGTGACTCTGCCAAGCCAGAGAGGATAGAGCTGCTGAGTCCCTATCACTGAGGGGTCCCTGAATGGTCGTAGATCATTCGTTCTTCTGGGTATACAGTCCCTGTCACGACGCATTTACAGTAGATGGTCTTTGGATACCGATACCAAAATGGTTCAAGTGACCTTCGATCAGGCAGGCTTTCCCTCTATCTAGGTTCCAATAAAAGTTGTGTGAGTGAGAGAAAGAACCCATGATTAAAATGGTGACGATGACCTAAAGACAAACGACAACTCGCAATGCTAAGACTGATCCAAGAAAAAATACCACATAAGAGGTGGCGGCTGGAAGGCTCCATGAGGTTTAGTTTTGGAGAGTCAAATGATGCAAGAAAGAAATTCAAATATATAAATTCCACAGCAAACTTTCCCCAAATATATAAATTCCTTAGCAAACTTTTCCCAATCCCAGGGAAACGCCAACATTTGCCATCCATATAATATTTATTAACTGTAAAAATGCTAGTTTTCCAATGGATCTTTTAAAGATGTCATTTCTTAATAGATGTGCATATCATGACCCGGTTAAAAGTACTGACCTTTAGGTAAGGCAGAAAACAGTTTTCCCCACACACATATAGTTTGATCTCTTTCTTTCAATAATAATTATTGAAACTAATTAAGTAAGAAAAATGTCAGTAATTATTAAAATTATTAATTATTTAATTATTAAAATAATAATTATTATTGAAAACAGTTTTGTTTGAGTTGATTTTTCAATATTAGTTCAAGACCAAAAGCTGTTTTTGCTACAAACCTCGGAATAAATCTTAGAATGGGCATTTAATCCTTTACCTGTAAAGATACCTTCTCTTACTGATTATAAAGAAATATTTTTACTAGCAACATTTGTCATTTTTCCTTTCTAGATTTCAGAGTCAAACAATATAAACATCAACTTTATGCTTGATAGAAACAATTAGAAAGAAGGTAATCCAGAAATTAGCAACAGTTTCGTATTTTAAAGTTGGAAAATGGGTTCAAGAAGAGGGAATTCAAGGGGACTGAAAGAAGAAAGTCAGTAATACAAAATAGACATTCTTTAAATGATACATCAATTAATCTTCTCAAGAGAATAGGGAAAGTTAGTTAATCAAGGAAATGTTACATTTCAAAGATAAGAAATGAAGGATAAAGTTGGTAGTTAGGTTTCATCACAATAAAAAAATTTGCAAATACCTTCTTCAACATCTGAGATATATTCACCATCACTGAGCATTTCAGGGGCATTGGCTTTACGAACTGCATGATTTAAGCGAACAATATAAGTGTATGAAAAATGCACACTCTTGATAATACAAGAAAAATTTCAGTACTTGTAAACACATTTTGCAATTACCTTTAGGAAACAACGAATACAGAGTCATTCATCATTATTACGTATTTGAAGGGCATTTTTATACCTTCATCATCCGACATATCCAGAACTTCATTCATCGTTTCTGGAACATTCATTTTGTGCTTCTCCGTGACGGTCTGATAACAAAAAAAAAGTCGTGTTAGTGTGAGGAGACTTCGCATTTTAATAAGACTCTTCGTTTCTTCTAAATTAATCAATTGTTTTTTTGTGGTATTTATGTATTGAATATCTCAAAGTTTCCATGTATAAATGAATCAATATTGGTATTCCTTAGCGGCACAATTGCCCTCACCATATCAACAACAGAAAAAAAAAAAATACAAGGTGGAAGAATTCTAGTGGCAAAGTGTAACATCTCCAGGGACTTTGGTCCCTAATGAGGTTTTTCTTTTTTTTCCCTATAGAAGATTTGCCTCAGGGCACATGCGCTTGCCAGAGAGAAAAGAGACAGAGACAGTGAGAGTGAAAGAAAGAAATCACCCTCTGAGGGGATGGCCATGCCACTATCCCTTCTCCTCCATTCTCCTCCTGGGATCTTGGCCACACACACACACACACGCCTGGTGTGAGTTTCAAGCCACTGGGTCTGGGACATGAACTTTGGTCAGTCATGCGGGAGTCCAACGCTGTAACCGCTAAGCCATCTGCTGGTCCCCCAATGAGGCTTTCAAAGGAAACTAGAAGCGGCAAGATGTTGCCTCTTATCCTCCATCACTATTTTTTTCATGGTCTGATAGATCTACTTCTCCATTCTACTAAAAGGTCATGGCTGATGATAAGCCAAATGAAGAGCAAGAAATACATCTTTATTATTTGTGTCAACTCTCCCATTTATTATGTCTCCTTTTATGTCTGTTTTAATTCCTAGTATAAATAAAGCATTAAGACTGCATAAACTACATGCTTTTTACAACTAAGTGTATGAAAATATTTTAGAGGTAATATATTTGCAGGGTCATTTTAGCTTCCAAAAACTGGAAAGGCCACTATATTACAGAGCAGATGCCTCAATGACTTTTTAAACTTGCTCTCTGATAACTTATTTTTGTATAGATTATATTTATCCCAAAGACATTGTCAACATTACTTGTTAGAAAATCTTAATGACTTTAATTTTATTTTTTAATTTTTTAAATTTTTTTTGGAGAGTTTTTAAATTTTTTTTTTGAGAGGTATTTTTTTGATATAGGACGTATGAGCTTGCCAGACAGACAGAGGGAGACACAGAGACAGAAAGCGAGAAATCACCCCCCAGGGGGGATGGTCATGCCACAATCCTTTCTCCTCCAGGCACGCACGCACACGCGCCCGGCGAGAGTTTTAAGTCACCAGGTCCGGGACGCGAACTGCGGTCAACTACGTGGGAGTCCAGTGACATAGCCATTACGCCAACTGCTGGTTCTCTTCCACTCTCCTCTTGGGATCCTGGGCATGCACACACACACGCCTGGCGTGAGTTTTTAAGCCACCGGGTCCGGGATGTGAACCGCAGTCGATTCCATGGGAGTCCAGCGACATAGCCATTACGCTAACTGCTGGTCCTGGAGAGTTTTTTCTATAGGGCACATGTGCTTGCCAGACAGAGAGACAGAAAGCGAGAAATCACCCCCCGGGGGGATGGCCACGCCGCAATCCCTTCTCCTCCATTCTCCTCTTGGGATCTTGGGCACGCACGTACATGTGCCTGGCGTGAGTTTTAAGCCACTGGGTCCGGGATACGAACCGTGGTCGACTACATGGGAGTCCAGCGACATAGCCATTATGCTAACTGCTGGCCCCAATGACTTTAATTTGAAAATGAATCTTCCTGTAACTGCAGGCATATGACAGACTATGAATATAAGGAATGACACACATTTAAATACGACAACTGAAAATCAGCCAGATGTTTAAACAAGGGTACACATTCAGTGAGTGTGTGTATGTGTGTGTGTGTGTGTGTGTGTGTGTGTGTGTGTACGTGTGTGCACATGTGTTTGTTCATTTATTTTTGGTAGGATTTGGGGAGCACGTCCTTACTGTTTGGTACAATAGAAAGTTCCAGGCCTGGGTCAGCAAAACTGAGTACCTTAAATATGTGATTTAACAGATACAATTACATTGTTTTGAATATCAGGTTTTACCAATTTAGTTTCTTACCCTGTTGTGATTAGAACCTCATTAGTTCAAGTACCTCTCACAATTACCACATGACACATTGTACGCCTATGTTAGAGGTATTCTTCTTTCTAAGGTTTTGAAAAACTGATGTCTGCTTTATATAGACAATAGCTCTGAGGCCTCAGTAACTAGAACCACAAAGACCATGGTGGAGGCTGAGCTGAGCTTAAGGTCCTAGACTCCACCCTGAATTGCATCAGTCGGTCTAAACTATTGTAATTTACATGTAGCTGCTAGAGCAGGGCTGACGAGGCAGTGTCTCAACTTGAGATAAAGCCTCAAATACCACAATACTGGACTAAGTCTTAGGGACTTCAGTGGGCTAATCAAGGTGACACTTCATTTTATTGGGAGCCTGCTTTGATAGGGAAACTGGACCTTTCTGTTAGCACCCAGGGTGTTTTCTCTCTCTTGCAGAAAGTCACCAAGTGAGTTGATGACACTGAAAGTGAGATTCTATTATTGTAGAAACTCAGAATTTCATAATCTTCCTTCCTGTACATGTTATGTCTTCTGATGGTAACCTGAGCCTTGAGACCTTTCCCTTTCTGTAGGTTTTCCTGCAGCTGGAACTGTATTTCTATTCTCAAACTCTTTCTCTTAAAGCCTTTTTTATTTCCAAGAAATGTCCTAAAATTTCCTAAAGGGTGAGAAAGTCATTTATATTCAATCTGATAAAATTTGCATTTTAAACTATTATACAAGCTTCAGTCCTGTGACATTGAAAGAGAAATTTTACGTACTTATCGTAACACCTCTGAATCTTTTACAGCATTGTGACATTTAGCCTCTACTAAATAGCTTGCCTTCCTCCTTCTCCCCATTCTTGACAGAGCTATATGGAATTTCTATAAAATTTGGACTAGTTAATATTTGTGTGCTTAAAACTCTTTTTTTTCAAGAGTAATAGAAATTAAGATAATGAAAAATTCAAAAAGTGTATGAAAGCAACATATGGGAATGTATCTCTTAGACAAATTATATTGTTTTTAAAATTTAAGATAAAATCTCGACATGTCATAATCCACCTGCCTCACCCTCCCAGCGGGGATGGCAGATTATGCCACCAGGCCCGGTTCTCCCTGTGTTGCCCGGACTATCCTTGAGCTCATGATCCTCTGGCCTCAGCCTCTATGAGTCACTGGGATAACAGACCAACACCCCCATTGCTGGCCTTTAGGGTGGACCACGAATTGAACTCAGACTTTCATGTGGCCCCAACCTATGGAGCTCAGTGTCTTAGTACACACCGCTAAAGCTAGATTGACAAATGATATCTTGAAGTTGGAAATGTGCCCTGGTTGATAGCAACTGTTCTAGTCTGTAAAGCAACTGTTTTCTTTTACTAATTACAAAATTTCTCTTTTGATTGAAGGTATTATTATTATTATTTTCAGTTTCAAAAGTCTGTATGTTGCCCAAGAACTCAACCTGCAGGTAGTGAGAGAGACCCTTAACCCATATTTCTTTACAAAGCGCAATGTATACAAATGAATTTTCAGGTGCTAACTATGCTTTCTTTCATGTTAGAAGGCAGTAGAATAGAAAGGAGACAGAGCTGGTAATGCCAAATGCTCCCAAATCCTAAACGTACATGGTACAGAGTCAGTCTCAGGCCTAGATGCTGAGTCATGGAATCAGAAATAACTCAAAGAAATCTCTGACATACGGTAGTATGTGTTCTTGATTCCAAAGTTTTCAAACCCTGGTGCAGTTCGAAGGTACCAGACAGCTTTTTAAAAAAATTACCCCAGAGTTTGTACCTTAAAAATATGTATCTGATGCAACAGGACTTTCTGGTAAAGATTTACTTTAAACAAATCACCCTATTTTATTCCTGTAAAAATTCCAATAGGTACACAGATAAGGAGTAAAAATAATGACCAAAGTCAATTTAAATCCTACCTGAACATTTTTTTAAGTAAATATTTTTACAGTTATGATAATGTATCCATGTATTATTTGTGCATTAAAAACATTTTAAAAAGTCAAGTTAGTTCCCATATTTTTTTACTTTTTAAAAAGTATTATTAATTTTATTCACTATTATTATTATTATTATTATTATTTTATTTGACCAGAGAGAGACAGAGAGAGAGAGAGGAAAAATGAGAAACTAAGCCACCAGGTCTGGGACTCGAACCACAGTCAGCCATGTAAGAGTCTAGCACCTTAACCACCACGCCACCTGCCAGCCCCATTTCCAACTCTCTTACAAAGCCAAAGAAGAAGGTTAAAAAATTTCTACCTTGTTCATCATTTTATTAAAAAATATTATACCAAACAAATAACATATATTTAACATTATGTAGGCCTAAACACTCAATAGCTACTAACATACATTTTTAAAGAGATGTTTTAGTGCTTGAATTTTTATTCCTATCAGAAATTAGTGTTGTTATTCTCATAGCTAAGAATGAGGGACAGAATTCTGAAACATGGCACTTGGTCTAAAATGGGGGAAAGATCAGAAAATCCCAGCAAAAACCACAGTCTGAGAATGAATGGGCTCTCAGGGTAACAGGTTTTGCATCCATTACTTACAGTCGTGGTGAGGGTCTCTTCCGTCACTACTTTCAGAGTATCAACCACCGAGATGTAGCCAAGGCGCCGGGCAATGCCAAGTGCGGTATTCCCATTCTGGCAAGGGGAATATGTGGACAAGGAATTAACAAGCCTCATTCCACATGTTTTGCCTATACGAAACTTAAGGCGAGTGTCTCATCAGACCCATCCCTGGTCATAGACAAAAAACTGTTTCACGAGAGACATACCTTGCACAAAACCGACCTAACCTGTTTCTACTCACACAAAAAAGTTTGGGCAGCTACAAATGGATGCCAAAAGGCATTCTAATGTTCTAAGTAAGCTATGAATGAAATAGACATGTTTTTCTCTTACAGACAGACTTCCCACTAGCTGGCAATGCCATCAGTTTTAAAGTGTGAAACACTAATTACATCTTTGAACAGCTTTTAAATATGGTTATTGCCCTTCCTCCCCCCATTCTACTGAATGCTCTGTTTATGCCTACTAGTGAAAGTAAGAGAGCAACACTGCCTTACAACGAAAAAATGTAAGTAGACACTAGAGATGCCTGCCTGTCTCTTTCCTCTTCCCTCAGGCTGGCCCCCAGCTCTTACCACAGTGAGTTCGTTGGGGGAGGCGTTGTTTTGAAGCAGGACATTGATTATGTGTGTGTGTCCCTGTTGAGCTGCTTGGTGTAGTGGCGTGTACCCATTCTGCAGAAGGAAGATGGAAAACAAATGACTCTTGCTTATAGAATCAAAGATTTGGGCAGAAACAAAGGAGAAAGGAACTTACCTTTGTTTTGGCATTAACTTTTGCAGAATGCTGGAGCAGGAAATTAACGATCTTGATGTTTCCATAGTGGCAGCCCACATGGAGTGGTGTGTATCCCATCTGCAATGACATTTTTTAAAAAAGGAAATACTGTAAGTTGAATTTTATTAATAGCTATCCTAAATAGAATGATAATGATTTTTAATTTCTGGTTTTAAAACCAGAAACAAATAGATTTTTCTAAAAAAAAATTGTCATTGATAATTCTCAGAGCGGGTCTCAGTTATAAAGACGACTACCAAGGTCCATAAAAATCACTAAAAAGTTACTTACCTACCCCTAAGTACTTTCTCTTTTATTAACTCATTTGCTTCTCTTAATGACTTTTCACAATAGGAAGGAAAGAGAACAATCAACAGCCCAGAGAGACTAATATATGGTCTTCTCAAGGGTCAGAAGAGAGCATTTTAGACAGTACTTGAACTAAAATTTATTTAACATTTATATTCTAACAGCTCAAAATCTAGGCAAGAAATTTGAAGAGGCTAAATGATAAAATAGAAGAGTAGAGGAATGTCAGAATGCATGACTGAGACAGGAAGAAGCGCAGAAACACCAAAGAGGAAGAGGCTAGTGTTAGAGTAGACAGTCTGAGAGCTACAAAGTAGGCAGGGATTCCAAGATCATGCTGAAGTCTCCCACCTTTCTGTCTAGAGTTCCACAATTTAAAAACCACTGATTAGAGTGGGAGCTGAGTACTAGTGCTTTCAGGGAATAAGAGAAATGGAAATTTTCTGTTGAGAATTCATCCTGGAGAGGCAAAAAGGGCAGGCCTTCAGAAGAAGACTGAGTCCTCCATGGGAGCTGAGAACTAGTGCTTTCAGGGAATAAGAGAAATGAAGATTTTTCTGCTGGGAATTCACTCTGGTAGAGCCCCCTGAAGAAAAACAGAATGGCAAAAAGTTTATAGATCACCTCCTCCTGCATGCCTCTGATCACTCAAATTGAACTTCTAGAAATTAGGAAGAAACATATAATCCATCAGATGACTAGAAATCACCAAAGAGGCACAAGAAATATGAGAAACCAAGAAAATACCTCTCCCCCAAGGGAAAGAATAACTCCTCTTTTTCCACAGACAGTATAACGGAACTCGCGGAAATGTCTGATAAAGAATTTAGAATGTTCATAGTGAAAAAGCTAACAGAGATGGAAGAGAAGAGAGACAATGAACTCCTGAAGAGGCAGGAGAAAAGAGGTGATTAGTTCCAGGAGGTGAGGAAGTTCTTGCAAGATCTGAAAGAGGAAATATACACCATAAAAAAGAACCAAATGGAACTGTTAAAGATGAAAGCTGTAATACAGGAAGTCAAAACCTCCCATGAAAATATTAAAAGCAGACTAGATCATACAGAAAATCAAATTTCAGATGTAGAACAGAATCACTGGGCTAGAAAAATCTACCATGAATACTGAGAAAATAGCCCCCCAAAATGAGAATAATATACAACAATTACTAGATACCATTAGATGTCCAAGCATCTAGATAATCGGTATCCCAGAAGGTGAAGAGACTAATAAGGACATTGATAATCTATTCCATGAAATCTTGAAAGGAAACTTTCCAAATCTAGAGAGGCATTCAAAGATCTAGACACAAGAAATACAAAGGACCCCAAATAGAATCAACCCAAGGAGATCTTCTCCAAGACACATTATAGCCAGATTGACCAAAACCAGGCAGATTGACCAAAACCACAGATAAAGATTGGCAAGAGAGAAACATCAAGTTACCTACAAAGGATATCCCATCAAGCTAACAGCAGACCTCTCATCGGAAACAATGAGGGCAAGGAAAGAATGGGAAAATACACTCAAAATATTGAGTGAAAAGCAATTTCAACCAAGAATACTATATCCAGCAAGATTATCCTTCATATGGGAAGAGAAGACAAGAACATTCTCAGATAAACAAAACCTGAAAGAATTTATCGACACCAGACCAGTTCTCCAAGAAGTTCTGAAGGGAGTGCTATATCAGGAAAACTAAAGTCAGATACACGGAAATAAAATTCAAAACCAACTAAGAAAATGACCAGGACAAGCCCAGAGTTGAACATTATCTTCCAGAATTTAAATGGAAAGATCAGACCACAACAGAAGATGAAGTATATGAATCTGAACTGGTGAAAAAGAATTTTATGACTTTTTTTTTTTTTTGAGAGATTTTCACTGTAGGGGGCGTGCGCTCGCCAGACAGACAGAGAGAGACATAGAGACAGAAAGCGAGAAATCACCCCCCAGGGGGGATGGTCACGCCGCAATCCCTTCTCCTCCATTCTCCTCTCGGGATCTTGGGCACGCACGCACACGCGCCCGGCGTGAGTTTTAAGCCACCGGGTCCGGGACACGAACTGCGGTCGACTACGTGGGAGTCCAGCGACATAGCCATTACGCTAACTGCTGGTTCCCAAGAATTTTATGACTTTTGACTAAACATCACTGATCATCTTCGATGCTTTGTTTTCCAGAGTTAAGGATTTTTGTCTTCTCTTGTGTTGTCGATAGGTCCATGTGCCTACTATTTGAACAGAATCCTAGCATTTTTCCTGGCTTTAAGTCTTAAGCAAGGTTTTCTGAACATTTTTTGATTTTGATTTATTAAAGGTAAAACTGCCTTTCTTGACATTAAAAACTATATTTTAAAAATACCTATTTAATGAACACAGTAAGCTACATAGCTTCAGCTAGGTGCTACTTTATAGTATAGTCATTCTACTCACAGAGTTTCATACTTAGAGTCAACACATATTCACAGATATGTATATATCAGCTGAACTTGCTATTGAAAGTATTTAGATTAAGATATTTTGTGAATCAATAAAAATATGGGAAAATTTAAAAGGAATGGAAAGCAACTGCAGATACCAGAGACAGTGTGGGAGGAGGGTGAGAAATAGCACAGGGTGAGAAATAGGGGAAATATTTATATATACAAGAAACAAGGAATAGAAAATGATTTGTGGATGATAACATGTATGTTTGAACCACTATAAGTGTATTCTAGATAGGAAATTGCATTTTGTATGCCGTGATGATGTTCAGTGAAAGGATGTAAAATAAATAATTTTTTTTTTTTTTTGGAGAGGTATTTTGCTATAGGGCACGTGTACTCACCAAACAGACAGAGAGAGACATAGAGACAGAAAGCGAGAAATCACCCCCCAGGGGGATGGTCACGCCGCAATCCCTTCTCCTCCATTCTCCTCTCAGGATCTTGGGCATGCATGCACACGTGCCCGGCGTGAGTTTTTTAAGCCACTGGGTCCGGGACACGAACCACGGTCGACTACGTGGGAGGCCAGCGACATAGCCATTACGCTAACTGCTGGTTCCCAATAAATAAATTTTTTAAAAAAAGAAAAAAAACCCCACTGATTAGACAAAGCAATGGACGATTTCTCAAATTAGTATCCATAAACCCTTAAGGGACTATTTTCTCTCTTCTGGCACCTTCCTTTCAGCTTAGAGGCGTATTTACACTTACTCTCTTGGAAACAGAAAGCTCTCCTTTTAAATATTTCTCTTCTTTTCTGGGTCCCAAAATTAAACTTCACAAATAAAAAAAAAAGTCATCCTCTTCTACTGCTCCCTCCCACCCTGTCCACACCTCCATGTCTCCACTGCTCTAGTCAAACTTCTCTCAGCACCCTGTATGCCAATGCATGCACCTGCTTTGTACTTCTTCTGGAAACACCCCCCTTAACAGTCATTCAGACCCTGATGTCCATGTCATGTTCTTTCCCGACTTCCCTCCTACCCTGTAGTTTCTGGTCCTCTTCTCCATTTACTTTAAAGTGCTGTTAGCCTCAGGGGTTTTGTCTTTGGTTTGCTCCTCTCTTCCTTTCACCAATCACATTGACATTGACATCTTCAATTAAGACATTAACTCTGATGACTCCCAAATCTGGGTCTTCAGCCCAGCCCTCTTATGTCCTAGATTAATATTTCAGTCACAAGATTTTCCCACCCAACTGGCACCTATGTCATCCATTGGGTTGTCAGAAAAGTCATGACTTTTTTTTTAATTTAAAACTCCTTTGTATAGTATATTGTTTTTATGAAGTGGTTACACCAGAAGGTATGACAGTAGATACAGGAGGTAGTAAAGCTGCCTGAGCCTGCTTGAGCCATATCCACACATCAGCCCACCTGGACTGAGGCTAGAGAAGACATGGACAGTCACCATACCACGTTCATGTGAAGGTCCAAGAACGATGGTAGAGAAAGAGGGGGAAGGAAAAAAGTTGGAGAGAGAGATTTGACAACTTTTCTCCTAGATGGTAATGTTTTGGACTATAAACTGGAAAGGCAGGCTCAGACTTAATACATTTATTCTGAATAATGGCTTTTATTGAACAATGTCCATCAGTTCTGCTTCGAGTGGGTTTTTCACTTGAGCAGCAGCACCCGTCTTTCACCTCGCTGAAGGCAGAACCATAGCAGGACTCCAGCGGAGGGCTCTCTTGTGTCTATGAAGGGATGCAGTAAGTGCACCACTGTCCTTAACAGAGAGGACAAGAATGCCTTTTCTCTGACAGAAAAACAACCTGCTTCACTACGCAAGACAAGACTTGGTCCTTAAATTAGCTTCTTTTGTTGATTTTATCCCGGAATATAGCAAGGTTATTGGTGGCAGCTACAGCAATCATGTTCTCCATGGGGTGCCAGGCTGTTTTAAGTATCTTCTTATTGAAGTCCAAACTGTCCATACTAATCTCCTCTTTCTTTCTCTTACCACCTGTGCATACTTTCCCAGGCTTTAAGCTGGGTCAGGGTTTACTGTTCTCTCTTGAAGCTTCTAATGTAGCATCCCTGTGTGTATTTCTATCAAGCATTCTGAAGTTCTTGTTGGAGGACTCAGTCACACTGGCATGATCCGAACCGTTCCAGCAGCATTCAAACTTGTCAAAGACGCACTCATTTTCATATAGAGAACAAAGTTTGCTCCACAAGTACTCATGGACCTGGTGAGTCTCAACAGGCCTGCTCTCCATGTTGAGGTCCCATACCTTCACCGACAGGTGGTCTCCCGTCATCATGTACCAACCACTACAACT